AATTGCAAGTTTATAAAAAAAAACATTAGGTCTTGGTTTATATGTACAATGATAAAAAAAAACAACGAGCGATATACATTTACTACTGTTGCAATTTTCATTAAAAGAGAAATTTCACTAAAAAAAGGGCTTTGTTTAAAATATAGTTTTGTGTGGAAAATTTGTTTGTTTCGAATATTTGAGCAAAGATACTCATAGTAATGGTTCCACAACTAGCTGGATATTTTCAATATCCTATTTATCATTCGTCAAATGATTTATATGTTTAATATGAATCTACAGATAGAAAGAGGTCTTACTCAAGAGCCAAGTATTACAACTAACTTCATTGTAGCTATTTGTTTTGGTTTTAGCATTACTATTTTACAATGTCATTATATAGCTGTAAATTTCGTCATCATGACCTACCTCAAATGTTGTACGATATATCAGTCGGCCGAACTATTGTGACTAAATAGCAAACAGTACATGTTATAACAAATACAAAGTCGACATCAGAGAATCAGTTTTGACATTTCCGATGCGATGAACGATTTACTTCCGATTTGTAAAAAGATCTACTTTCTTGATAAGATAGAGAAGAAGCTCAACTTCCTTAGTTCATTATATATAAATAAAGTGTTTCCTCTGCCAAGACATATAAAATCGAAGTTTGTTATCGGAAATACAGTCGTTTGTTTGAGTCAAAGTATACAAGAAAAATGGCCAAGTGATTCCTCCATTCTAATAGTTTTTAAATACTTAATGCGATACTGGTGTATTTAGATAAAACATTTATGTTTGGTAGGGGTTCGGACTATTGTGGAGTTTGACATCAGCATTAATAAGGTACATAACGCTTTAGAATTATTTAACGAAGATGACAAATTATCTTTACAATTACACATGCTGTGATATCATTCGTCATGCCAGTCATACCTTATATAGTACACTTAGAATAACAGTTACTGACACAGTATTGTATTTATTCCAAACACACCTTATTGAAGACATCTAACGTAATATAGTACGTTTAGAATATCATACCGATACGCTGTGCTTTCATATCAAACAGATCTTATTTATATCTAACATTTAATGTGATTAGAATTGCGCGAGTCGGTACGTCTTTATGTACACCAAACATATGTCGACAGTATTCAAAGCATTTTAATAAGCTTAAAATTAAACGTCCAAATGTGCCATTTCTAACGTCAAAGTTAACTACTTGTACCTAAGCGTCATAGATAGTTTAAAAACAAACAGCTCCTACTTAAATGTTAGCGTTCCCACTAAACACACTATATTAATACCTAGTGGGTTATAGTGTGTGTATGTAGAATTACGTGATATCAATTCATTATTCGCAGTAAATGTCTTAATATATAAGAAACGCTCACGTTAATAGTCAGATGTTGAAATTTCTATCTTTACTCAACATATACGCCATTAAAGTCATTATATATTAATTGCTTGCTCTCTAAATCTAAATTTTGTGTTCTGTGACACTACGGATGTATGGGTTTTAAAGGACGTGGCATTCTGTATATTGTGTTTTATAAGTAACGCGACATTGTGTAGAGATGTGTCTTCTAAGTGACGTGACACTGTGTGGATGTGTTTCTTATGGGACGCGTATCTTCTAATTGATGTGCTACTGTAGAGATATGTCTTTTAAGGAACGTAATCCTGTTGAGATGTGTCTCCTAAGGAACGTAATCCTGTTGAGATGTGTCTCCTAAGGGACCTAATAATACGGGCATGTATCTTTCCATTGACGTGAAACTGTAGAGATGTGTCTTTTAAGGAACGTAATCCTGTTGAGATGTGTCTCCTAAGGGACCTAATAATGCGGGCATGTATCTTTCCATTGACGTGAAACTGTAGAGATGTGTCTTCTAAGTGACGTGACACTGTGTGGATGTGTTTCTTAGGGGACGCGTGTCTTCTAATTGATGTGCTACTGTATAGATATGTCTTTTAAGGAACGTAATCCTGTTGAGATGTGTCTCCTAAGGGACCTAATAATGCGGGCATGTATCTTTCCATTGACGTGAAACTGTAGAGATGTGTCTTCTAAGTGACGTGACACAATGGCTATGTCACGCATGTGTTGTGATACTATGGTGACATTATATGTTAGAGATGTATTACCTAAGTGATATATCACTCCGAACATGCGTCTCTAGGTGATATGAGGGTATGGAAATGTGTATCCCAAGTGACTTTACTATGAAACAGATTTACTACTGCTATATATATATATATTTAAGATACATAATGAGCATAAACTGATTTATCTAGCTCGGCAGAGCTAGGTATAAAAACTGGGATACAGACGTTCTTCACATATGCACTATGATTATTAAGCCATACAGATGCAGTAACTATTCTATATCAATGAAAACTTTCTGCCTGTCCGTGGACGCATCTCCTCCTATAAAAGTTACCCGATCCAGACCAAATTTGGCATGCTAACTTATTAGTCCAAAAGCAAATCGGATTCATATTAAACTTTTCCCTACATTGAAAAATTCAAATACTTTATAGAATAAGTTCTATATCGTTACTTCAGTAGTTATTGTAAATAGTTGAGATTGTACAAAATTCGCACCATATATAACAAAATCCTACAAGTCAAAGAGTGTAAATAAACTTTTCACCATTTTGGATTGTGTTCCATAGTAACCAAGATATACAGCAATAAAATATTCAGCTACAATGTGGAAAATAAAGATAATGCTGCTCTTTTCTGATTCACACCATTTAACTTCCGGTTTATACTAGGGCTAGAATAAGCGCTTCAGTTTGAATGAGAGAAATATTTCATACTTAAAATATGTTTAGGATATTTCTTACTTCTTGGTGTAGAATATAGTTTTCCGTAGAAGCAAAATTCAAGATTATTATTAAATTTAATGAATTAAATGTACCAAATTCAGACAGTAGAAATCTTAACCACATCTCTACTGTGAAATGGGTTGCTTTGAACAAAAAGTGACGCAACTGCTTTGCGATTTCTGCCAAATTTCTCGACTCGACTACTACAGTTCCTCATTTCCGATCCACTTCCCCTGTTATACAACAATTTTCTTGGAGAATGAACTCTACTGGCAATCCTCGCAGTGATTTTGCTCATTTTTATCAAATTTGTGCGTTTTCCGCGATTTCCAGAGAAGAAAGAAAAACGGAGGAGTGCAGTATCCTTAAAATAACCTGCAAAACTTTTAAAGTAATACATTTAAAGTGCATTACAAGAGCTTCAAAAATAAAGTTCATTATAGACTGAGAGTTCACTTTTACTTGTAGACTTTCATCGGATCTGTCGAGCTTTCACTAAGGACAGAGCTGGAAATGCAATTTGCTGAAAAAAAAATAGTCAAATTGCACATTTACTTAATTTTTAGTTTTTATGTTTCTATAATCAACTGATTAGTTCATCCTAGTATTCCACGTGTTATCCAAGAATATGGAGTTATGAATAAGTTCCGAACAAAATAACTAATACTAAACCACAAATAACGCGAGACGTGACCGGCGAGAACTGTGCTTTCTTAGCAACAATGTGATAACAGGTTGACAATTAATCAATATTCTGATACTAATATAACAGCTCCCTTTATAGCTAATTTCCACACGGGTTGCAAGTTAAGCATCTAATTCTATCCGCAGGAATGTTTCAACTTTATAAAATGGAACCCTTACCTCTGTCTTGTCAAAACTACACGTTACGCAGCACTATTCTATCGAGTGAGTAAACAGGAAGAAAGACAAATGTATATTTTTGTAATGAGCAAACTTAGTTTACATGTTTAGAAAAATATATTCAGAATGACTTCAAATTACTAGTTGTTCCTATCCAAAATGAATCCTTGAGAATCATACATTCCAACATACCTTTTAAAGCCATATCTACCCCTAAATCACAAAACTTTTAGACTATCTGAAAACATATGAATTACACAAAAAGCATTTTTCTAAATATGAATTTACAACAGTCCAATAAAATCATAACATTTCGTAAGTTTTAATAAAGTATCCAATCATGTGCGTCACACGTAATCTCTGGTCGTAGTTATTGTAAAATAACATAATATATATAGAGCCATACCTAAAAAAAAAAACAGTATACAGTTTCGTCAATATATATGTATTAGAACTATATACATACATATATATATGTATATATATAAAGAGAACGAAAGATGCTAATGTAACCTGGAAAAGCTCAGTAATTATATAATATTCTGTAATACTTTCAAAAGTAGAAGATAGGAAACTCTCAAAATTCTGATATAAATATATTTGGATATGTGTGTGTTATTGCAAATAACCTGTTTCTTATGGTGGGAAATATCTCATTTTTTCTTCTTATTAGCTATTAAATACTTTCTCGAAATATCTTTGTTTCTGTTCTTTATTTTTCAAAACATATTATATACTTAAGGTCATTCATCCCACACATTGACATTTTCTAAAAATCTGGCTCATCATTTTGTTCAGCAATCGGGTAAGCTTTTCAACCTTTCAAACGAAAGAATAATTTAAGTGCGATGTCATGAATTTGACCATTGGTCAGTCGAGCCTAAATGATACAATATTTAGTGTTTAGAAAAGTATGTTCAAGTCATTAAAATGTTTTACTTGCAGACATAGAAGAAAAACAATAGGTAAAAAATGGGGGAAAAGATGCATTTCAATATATACTATAAGTGAAGCCAGTGAAGAAAGAGGAAAAGAGAGAGAATGTGAACAGAAAGAAGAACACTTTTCATAAATTTACTATTTATTAGCTATTATTCATAAATCCCACAAAGTTTGTGTTTATGTTTTTGGTATTTTCTTTGAATTGATATTAAAATGTTACACACAATCTTATGATGTTTAATTTCTCTGGATACATACTCCCAATCATCGGTATATTCAGATACCTTTAACGTGGTATGCAAATATGTAGTAAGTTGTTTAATCGGAGAAAATGTATATTATTGCAAGTAGGTCTTAATTAGAAACTATCTCACCTTGAAATTCTTTTCTTGCTGCACTCACATTGGTAACAATGTTGGCCACGTGGCCGAGAACAGCAGCAAAGAGGAATAAGCCGAAGACCAATTCCACTACTAGGAACAGGTATTCACCCTTAGTTCTAGGCCTTGGCAAATCTCCAATGGTTGTCAAAGCCAAGGTACTCCAGTAAAATGAATGAAGATATTCACACACTACATCATAACAGTTTTCGTCACGAGGATTGAACCAGTTGCGAGAACCGAATCCTCCATTTTTGGAAATAATATGATACAGAGAGGCGTTCCAGTGAAAGATCACTAGGAGGTAATGTGTCAGGGACACCGTGCGAAAGACGTTTGGGTAGTTGGTATGTCGTTCTGTTCGGTCCAAAAAGGCCCAAAATCTATAAATCTTGACCAGTCGCAGGCAACGGAGAATTGAATTAAATCCAATAGAAAGATATAGGACATCTAGAGGTAAAAGACATAAACAATCAATATAAAACATTGTTGAATTCATATAATGCTGCTGAAGTTTGATCGAGTCTGTTTGTAACACTCCTTCTTCCAAATATCCAGTACGGAAATGAAAGGCAATATCTAAAACATAAAGAATGTCTGCTAAATAATCTAAAGTTAACCAGGCCACAATGGTGTTCGCATTTATTTCATTAAAGGCAAACCTATAGATCATCACCCAGAAGTTATAAAGAAAAGCCACACTAACAACCATGGACCAGTAATAAGAAAGTCTGCCTGATGGATCAAACACAAACGTCCAGTTACACCCAATTTTCTCGCTACTTGAGGTGGAAGTTTCCCATTTCTCAAATTCCCGCTTGATATCTTTTCGTCGCTGTTCTCTGATTTTTCGAGATATCTCCAGATCGGACCCGATGTGAGCTTTATTAATGAAAGCCATAGATTCACGTGATCGCCGCCTGTGATTCCCACCGTGAAATTTGTTGCTCACTGCATCCAGCAAGCTCTGTTTTGATGCAGATTTAGATTTTAAATTTTCAGATGATTTTGTGGAGTAAAGAGGTGAAGATGTTGGGAGACGCGTGCTGCTGGCGCTTCTTCGTTCACTGACCAAACGAGAGTGGTCCATTCCTGCAGACGTTATTATTCCTGGAACTACACGAGGTCCATTAGCTGTCAGGGTTCCGGGTCCGTACTTAACATTCTCGGGAGCAGCGTTGCTGACTACAGCTATTTCGTCCAAATCATCATCCAGATGAAGATCCTGTTTAGAGCAGGGAGTGTACTTTACAATTTTTCCAGTATCGCGGCTATGCCGCAGAGAAGGCATGGGGATACGTTTCATGCTCTTATGCTTGTGACTATGGCTCAAAATGAAGAACAGTAAATAACTTTACTCAAAAACTACCTCGAAACTTTCTTGGTTTGATTACTTAGAGAATAAATCATAAGCTC